TTTCAAAGACAGATCAATAGTCCATCAGTGAAGGCTCAGGCTCAAAAGCCAAAAAATTTTGCTGTCCATCAGTCCCGGGACCAACATCCCCAGCTAGAGACGAAGAACGGTACAGACTGTCCCGAGGTATTTCATGAGGTCTTTATGGGATGAAATCTGTGACCTCCTTTGCATTTTCTAAGGCCACATGTACAAATTCTGCCTTAGTATTAACCTTCCTTTCTCTCACTAACTTGCAGCCCTGCTTCCTACCACTTAGTTATTATTTGCTCTGTTCTTGCCTTCCCAGTTGATGGCAAATGTCCAATTTTGTTTTCCACAAATGGTCTTTATGTAAGACCCAGAACTGTTGCTGAATTACCCTGGCAGAGACAGACCCCATGCTCTTCCTGTTGTCTGCATGTGCACATGTGCATGCTTCACATGCGCACACACACTGAGCTTGGAAATGGGAGGGGAAAGATGTCTTCGAAGAGACTGGAAGCCTCCCAAAGTGGAGACTTGGACAGGAAGAGAAGACTCTGTGAGACCAGGAGCATACTTTAGAGCACCTATGCATTATTGTGAAGATTAGAGCAGCCAGGGCAGGGGTTGGTGATTAGTTGAGAAATTACTACGTGCCCTAATCTGTATATACACCAAATCATGTGCTCCTAGGACAACCCTAACACTATTCTTATCCTCATTTTACAGAAGAAGAAAATGGGGCTCAAAGATAAATAACTTACTCAATGGCCACCCAGCCAATAAGCTATAAATCTGACCTGGGTCTTTCCAACTTCAGAGTTCCTATGTTTCCTAGTTCCCCCATTTCCTGAATCGAGGGGATTTAAGCAGAGCTGGAGAGTGAGGCGGAAGAAAGCCAAGTAGAGAATATTTATATAAATGTTCTGCAGGGTTTGAAGAGTGACAGGAAAGATTCAAAGATACTGGGTATAGAAACAAAGATGCAGAACAATGAAGACAGTGGGAAAAGACAGATAAACTCTACGAGGGCAAAAGAAGCAGAGAAGATGGTAAAAACAGACTCAGTTATGAAGGAGGGCCTCAGTAAGAAATAAAAGTGAGCAGTCGTTTAGAGGGAAAGTATTTTCATGGAAGCAATAAAGGAAAAGTGCCACTATTTTGAGTTATTTAATCTCAAGCAAACAGTAGTCACATAATTTAGGGAGGGTCGTCTTAGGAGTGAAAGACTCGTCAGCATGGATCATTTGCTCTATGTGTGGCGCTTGTTAAGAGGCAAAAGAGTAAAGTGGTATGATTAAGGGGCTGTGGAGTTGAAATCTCTGTGTGACCTTGGGCAAGTTATCTAACTTCTCTGTGCCTCCTTACCCAAGTTGAATATGATAATAGTCCCTCCCTTGTAAGATTGCTGAGTGGGTTAAATGAAGGAAGGTGAAGTCCTCAGGACCATGCCAGACACAGAGTGGACCTCAATAAATTATGCTGCTGTTACAAGATGATTTGCATTCGTTGTGTCTTTTAATGATTTCAGATCTGTGAGATAGGTGTTGTTATTTCCATTCACAGGTGAGGAAACAGGCTTAGTGGGGTGGATTGATAACCACATGGCCAGTGGTAATCAGTCAGATGCTTCATCAGCCCCTAGACATGTTCAGTAGACACCCTAAACTATGCCCGAGGTCTTTGCATGGCCCCTATGACCCACTGGCTCAAAAGAAGACAGTCACTATGACAGCGATGTTCTAGGGGGAAAGGCCTGCCATCCTCAGAGGTGCCCAGGCATAGATGGCTCTAGTCTGACTCCAGTCTTTTTTCCCCTCATCCTGCAGGGAATGTGTGTGGTCCATAACTTTAAAGGAACACAAGGATCTCCTTCCAAATCCAAACCCGAGGATCCCCGTGGAGTGCCCCTAATGGCTTTCCCAAGGATAGAAAGCCCTCTGGAAACCTTAAGCGCACAGGTACAGTAAAGTGGTTTTAGCAAACCAAACCCACAGGCTCAAGGCGGGTTATCTTGGGAGGTCAGCTAATCCATTCCTCTACTGGAAGCAGGATACCACTGAATCCACTCAACACTAATCAAATCTAAGGTAAAGGCTTCAAGAACTTCAATCTTCTCTCAATAGTCCTGTATTTATTCTGGGGCGTGGCAATCATGAATCCTCAGGAAGTTCTTAGTAATGTCTAACTTAAACCCCAGCTGCTTTAAGACCCCTTGACCTACTATGTAATACCACATTTATGAAATTTGGACCAATTATGTGGGAGGCCAATCTGGTTTAGTGACTAGGACAATATTTAGAAAGAGAAAGGTTTTGTTACATTCAGCAATAGATGTAAGCTGGAAGCACATTAAAAAAAACAAACAAACATTAAAAAGGTTACTAAGTGTCCTTTTGCATCTATTTTGATGACCACAATCAAAAAATTTTAATGCAACCATACTCACTTATTTACATCAGGGCCTTGGTTCATGTCAGAGATACAGAAAATGATTAGCTGCACAGTCCTTGTCCTCAAAGAACTCACAGATAATCAGGAAGGTGGATATAAGTGAGTAGTCATAATATGGCATACTGAATCAGAGGTTCCCAAGGTGCTTTGTGAATCCAAATGAAGAAAAAGAAGTGTATTCTGTCTGAGAAGACAGGAAATGCCATGCAGAAGATTCGCCAAGTGAAAGCAGCCTCGAGAGATAGTATCAAACACTTGTTTTTGCCTGGGACAGTTGCTAGGTGCTTTACAACTACATTCTTATTTGAACGAAAACCTATTGAATCGATAGGAAAGTCCCACTGCACAGATTAAAAAATAGGAATATGGGGGTGCCTGGTGGGCTCAGTCAAGCGTCCAACTTCAGCTCAGGTCATGATCTCATGGTTCATGGGTTCAAGCCCCACTTTGGGCTCTGTGCTGACAGCTCAGAGCTTGGAGCCTGCTTCGGATTCCGTGTCTCCCTCGCTCTCTCTCTCTGCCCCTTCCCCTGCTCGCACTCTGTCTGTCTCTCTCTCTCTCTCTCTCTCCTTCAAAAATAAATAAACGTTAAAAAAATTTAATAGGAATATGAAGATAGCGATGTTCACTGAACTTGCCTGAGGCCACGTGGCTAGCAAGCAGGAGAGCTGAGATGAGTTGTTCTCTAAGCAGAGAAGGAGATAACCAATAACAAAACAGGGTTCTACTGTCAGGCTGGGCTGAGTCCCACTAAAATGTTTTCCTGTAATAATCTATTCATCTTGAATCGTGTTTATGTTTATATCCTTACAAAACCATTTTGATAGATAGTACAAGGGAAAAGCAAATCACTTCCCACTGGAATTATCAATATAGTATAAAACAATATTTTCCCTTATTAAAGATTATTAACTATCCGGTATCTGAGATGAACTCTCCTATTTCTTTTCACATTTAGTGAAGTCTTTCTAATTTTACTAACAAGAAAAACAAAACACTAAAGCTATTTCCATCTTGGGAAAACTAGACCTCTCCATTAAACCCAGAGCCGAGTATTTTGTTTGTTTTTCCCCCAACCTGTATTAAGGTGAACGTTTTGACTTGATTTAATTAAGAAGTAACATACTAAGGGGCACCTGAGTGGCTCAGTCAGTTGAGCGTCGACTTCGGCTCAGGTCATGATCTCACAGCTTGTGGGTTCGAGCCCCGCATCAGGCTCTGTGCTGACCGCTTGCTCAGAGCCTAGAGCCTGCTTCAGATTCTGTATCTCCTTCTCTCTCTGCCCCTCCCCCGCTCACGCTTTGTCTCACTCTGTTTCTCAAAAATAAATAAATGTAAAAAAAAAAAAAAGTAACATACTAAAAAATCTATTGCTGGTTTATTTATATACAGCCTATCGATGCAGCTTGAGTGATAAAGGAGCTAAATCATGATCCCTTGTAATGAAATGGTGAGATAGACTTTCTCTGGTCTTCCCTATCTAATTATGTTTCTGTACCTGATAAGATCAGAGTGGTTTCCTCTACTTTTGAGGTGAAGCAACTGAAGACAAAGGTGAGTTTTAAAAGCAAACAAATAGCTACTGAGTTCCACGAACATGGGAGTCTCTGTGTTCTTTTAAATGCTCTCTACTTTGCCTTAAATGTCCCAATTTAAGGACATCGACTTTGGACCCCATCCTTCCGCCAAACACCACTCAAGCACTACCCTCTGTTGGAAGCCTTCTCCAGACCTCTCTCTCTTCTCCCTCAGGACCACTGATAGTGACCACAAAGGTCATAGAGACATCTAGGTCGTATTTGGGGGGATTCCACTTACATTGAAATATGAAGTGCCAAACAGAATTTCAAACTCTGCTCTTCCACAAGATAGAATGAAAGATTATCTTTAAAATATATATTATGATTCACTACGAGCAGCAGTTGAACTTCCTTCAATCTGCCCATGTATCTTTGTTTCCATGTGTATCGTTCCATCTGGATACGAGGCCATTTCTGAATAATAGGCTTGGGCCTAAGGACCTCATGGACCCTTGTGTGATTGTCCTGCACAATTAATGCCAATAATGCCCCTTCATATCTGCCTCTGCCAAGAGCTTGGAGACCTTGAGGATCTGAACCCTATGAACCATGTCTTATTTACTCTCCATATTTCCTGGCATTCGTGAGGCATGAAATGAATGTTTGACAGGGGCAGAGGCAAGCCAGAAACAGAACCTGAACTAGAGACTTTAGACAAAAGCAAGAACCAAAAATCAGACAATAGTCACTATCTGAACCCCCACAGAAGACAGAAATTAATAAGAAACAGTGAACAGGACTTCTGCAGGCTAGTCAAAGAGAAGCTACAGGACGCTGGTTAGAAAGTTGACTTCTCAAGTGATGCCTTCCACACCAAGTATAGAAGACTCAAGTAACAAAGCATCCACCTTTATTTAAAATGTTTTCATGTGGGCAGTTAGGATGATTATACCCTTTACTTGTTGGGTCAAGAAAAGAAAATTAGCATTTATTGCAAGCCATCACATTCAGTCCTCACAATAATCCTACAATTGTTATAAATCCCATTTTGTAGGTAAGTTAAGTAAAATACAAAGATTTTAAGAAACATGCCCAAGGTCACCCAGTTAAAATTAAAACAGACCCATCTAATTCCAAAGGCCCCGCCTGCTGTACTATACCATAGGGCCTGGCATTTCATTCAAGAGAAATTCCATTCTCTTTTTTTTTTTCCATTCTCTGCAATTTAGCATTAAATGGAAACATGCGGTAAGGGATACTGTATTTGAACTGAGCTACAGTTCTTCCAAAAGAAATCTGCCCTGTGGTTTCTCCTGTGGGCAAGGACTCCCTAGTCAACTCCAACAGCTGTGGTTGCTATTAGAAGCTGACTCCTTTGTAATATCTGGGATAGAACCATCTTCCCAGGGAGAAGATCTTTTGGAATCTGAGAGAAAATAGGAACTTCTCTTCAGAGCATCTATTCATACGTG